CAAGGATGTTAATCGTCACTCATACGTTAGATGCATTGAGAGGTATGCTTTGGTGATAACATTTCATTGGCCAAGACCAATGCGATTCGGTGTCCTTTAACACCGGTATAAATTCTTTTTAACTAGTCTTAAGCATATTCTTTTATTTGAACAAAGGGTTTTTAAAGTTAACTACCAGTACGAGTGATCAGCCCGAAAACATCTCATAAATGGAACAGTTATGATTAGGTGAATGCGTAGGGAAGTAGTTCTTCCTGAAAAAAAGAAAAAAGAAAACACAACAACAAGAAAACAAAAACAAAAAACAAAACAAAACAAAAAACAAAACAAAACAAAAAAAACAAAACAAAACAGAACAAAAGACCCAGTTTATCATACTCGAAGTAGGTTATTTCGTTGTTCAGTCGTTTGAGGAACGTTTTTTGTCTTCAGTCTTTCATCATATGGATATCCTTGATGGATATTCCTGCGATGCGATAGCAGTTTTAAAAGGATGATTTTCTTCTCATGGACTAACATACAAGCATCCTTTAATCTAATTGATCCAGAAAGGTCGAGAAAGCAGCAGAATCACTAATAACTTCCGAAACAAGACAGCATTTTTAAATTTTATGACGGACACCCGTCATCTTCAGTGTAACAATAACTACACCTGTTTTAGATCCGCGTAGCATACATTTACAGTCTTGTCTCCAGTCTTTTACCATATGGATATCCTTGATGGATATTCCTGCGATGCGATAGCAGTTTTAAAGGGATGAATGTCCTCTCATGGACTAACATACAAGCAATCCTTTAATCTAATTGATCCAGAAAGGTCGAGAAAGCACCAGAATCACTAAGACAGCATTCTTAAATTTTATGACGGACACCTGTCATCTTCAGTGTAGCAATAGCTACACCTGTTTTAGATCCGTGTAGCATACATTTCCAAAGATACGTTATATTTGTAATGCTGTATTGCGTAAAGTAAGTTGTAATAGTGACGGTCGTTTTGTTCAGCTAGATTTTGCTTCCCAGAATCTGAGGGAGTTTTGGTTGCATGGTACTTACTTGAAAAATACGAAAATTCTCGAATTTTTCGGAAACTTGTCCCCGTTTAGAATGTTCTCTGCACAATGGTTAGCCCCCTTACAGGAAATGAAATACAACACAACTAAATGCTTACTTTTGTTCTAATAAGTTCATCTTGAATAATTAAGTCTCGAGAGGTGAGGTAGCGTTTTATGAACGAGAGGGAGTTTCTTATCGTGGCCGCCTTCGCAGCGTGGCGTTTTTTTTCGGTTAGTCCGGGTAGAGGAGCCTTTTTTGTTGAAGGACCCATGGGTAAGGTATCTATGACTAATATTTTTAAACATTTATACACTTTTCTTATTGTAAAGATTATTTCGTTGTCCTTGTTTCATAGCGGAAAGTATGGTTCGAGTTGTAGTATTATTCGTCTTCTTCGTTGTGGCTTTAGCTTCTGAAGGTAGGATCCATTTAACCACGGTTGTTTAATGGCGTAATAAAAATACTAAGGCTGTTGGAATTACAATGTGAACAATTGAACAATTTTGAAGGAAAATCCAGCGGGTGCCACGGCTTTGAAACATTCTAAAGCGCACACTGATATATATGCAAAAAAATGGCTACGCTTCAATCATTACCTCAACGGTGATTGAAACTATCGATTTTCTTTTCAAGCAGTGCTTTTCTGACCTGTTCTTCACTCGGACCCTCAGGGTCGTTGTATGCAGATTCGATTGTACAAATTCTGGTCAGAAGTAGTATGAATTCACATCTTTCGTTCCAGAGGACATCACTGAAAATTTTCCCACCAAAAGCCCGTTTCATACTTCCAGGGGTCTGTTGTTAATTTGATCGAACGGTTCAAGTTAGAGGTCAAAAAGTACATATTTTCGAGCAGGAAAGCCCCGTTGAATTAGTTGACGAATCTAACCAATGAACTCATGTTTCTCCAAAGCCTCTTTTCCTTCGTGACAAGGCTCCAGTGACAGGTGGCTCATAGGTCACAGGATTATTCGTTAACTAGTGCCAGAAAAATGCAAAATGCAATTTTTGGAATTTTGTCAAGAAAATAACGATGAGACCATTTAACGAAACTAGGTCGTTATCTTTTTCTTTCAACGGAAGCTGCTTACAGTACTGCTTACAGTGCTGACATCTCCATGTATTGTTATGCAATAAAACATTCCGTTCATTATGATCACAGAGAAGAGGCATTAAATGTGTTTCCCTTTCTCTTCCTCTTCTCAGGAACAAAGTGGAAATACGGAGAAACTGGAGCTACAGGTATTTGAATGTGTTCATAATATCAGTTTGCTTTGAGTTTGTAACTAATTTTTACAAGGCTGAAATGTTTGAAAGAGTCAAAAAAGTAAAAAAAAAAATTGATATCTCACTGAAGATGTATTTTAAAGCTTCTGCTACCATTGTTCAAAAATGGCCATATCAGGGTGATTTTGGATCGTATAACAAAGCCTTTTATAAGAAAAATGCACCCGCTTTTCTTGATACGGTCGAAATCGTTTTGTTTTTACTTTTTTACCTTTTTAAACACTTTCCTGTAAAAATGTGTATTTGAACGAATATATCAGTGTTGGGAAGGTTTGATTTACGCCCGTGATCTTTTGTAATCAATACATGCTTTAGGAATGAACAATAATTGCATCCCCCCCCCAGTACGGTTAAATTTTAATGTATTCCTCCCCTTTCTGTTTTTGTCTGCGTTCTGTTGGTGTTGATATTCTGTCGAAGTCTGAGTAACGAAATGTGAGCCATCGGGTGGGTTCGAACCCAGGCTTACGCGTCCATCAGACTGAATGGCAATTCCCCTCATCTCTTCTCCAGGGGCGACCGTATGACATCAACCTTGGGGATAAACGCCATCAGCGTAGATAAATATCTAAACTAAACGCAGAGATACTTTTAATAGTTTGAATCTGTCAGTAGGCTGCACATACTCTTTCACCAACTGCTTATAAAAGCTATATAGTAATAATGAGGAGGACTGAAAGATTTGAACAACAAGGTTGGTGATTTTTCAGGCTACGGTCCAAAGGACTGGTACAAGGTATCAAAACACTGTAAAGAAAAAGCCCAGTCTCCCATAAATATTGAAACCAGCTCGGCAAAGAAGGATTCAAATCTCAAAGGACTGAGCTTTACTTGCGATAACAGATACGGATATGTCAGTGGAAAGATCGTCAACAATGGACACGCTCCAACACTGAATATCGACAAGACCAAAGGAACATGTCGACTTACTGGGGGTCCCTTGGGAAATAGCAAATACAAGCTGCAACAGCTTCATTTTCATTTTGGTTGTAAAGACGGCGAGGGATCTGAACACACTGTGAACGGCAAAGCATCTTCCGGAGAGGTAACAATTGTACTTTAACACTTAAATGTTATTTCCAAGAGTCAGTCAGATATTA